TTGAGCACTACCAATTCATCGATAAATGAGGGTGATAGGGTCAATAGTGTCATCTTGGATAACATGTTGGGTTTGCCCAATCGTGGGAATTAGTGGTTAGCACATCAATTGCCTTCCCAGTTGTTCGGTACACCTCTCCGAGTACCGCAATTGACCTGGGTTAGATGCACTTGAATAGAGGGGGTTCAACCCACTGTTATCAAAATTGGGTCGGATCTTCCGGTCCGACCGCGGTCAACTGGATTCGAAATGTCAGCCGATTCTGATTTCACAAAAATGGAGAGAAAGATACCCGTCCGGATATTGACCGGTTCATCCGGTTACTCGCCAGAACCGCCAAACCCGTGCCGGCGGTTTTGGGATAACGGTGGAGTGGTGGACGTTTCCACTCTTTGCTCGGCGGCGGCCAGGAACTTCTTGCTTTTGAGGGAGCAGATGAAGGGGTTGTTGGCGGCGTGGATGAAGCTTCTGATCAAGACCCCGGTGAGTTCTGCCGCCTGGATCTGGATTAGAAGGGCGAGATCAGATCCAACGACGAGCAAAGTGCGGTCGGCAGAACTGAAAGCAGATGGTCGTGAAAAAGTTTGAAACTAGCCAGATCGGCCACAAGAGAATTATTTTGGAAGGCGGATATGCAGATCTTTTTCGTCATCTGTACTTGCATTTCTACTCTGTGCTTCACGGGAACAGCAGCAAGGAGCGGGTACAAGATGGAGATGGCAATCCCTAGAGCTGACGAGAGAAGCCACTGTCCGAGAGGGTATCACTAGTGTGAATCTCAAGTGAGAATGCTTGCTGGTCATCTAATGATCATCGTCAATATTAGAGTAACTCGTGGAACAACTCAGAGGAAAAACAAGTAACTCGGATTGCTCATACTCGGTAGCTGAGAGCTTCAGGAATGCTCTTTTTTTGTTTTTGTTTGACCCGGATTAGTACCGGGGGTTTTGTGTGGAACCTTGATCCGGACTCCCTCGTCTGATCTCCTCGGGAGTGGAAGAAACCTGTGGAGGGTCGGGGGCGGCCCCCGTGATCTACACTCCGACGCCCAAGTTAGAATAGGATATATGATAGAGTGTAGAGAGAAATGTAGAGAGAGATAGGGTTTAGAGAGAGAACCATAAGTGGTAAAGTGAGGGAAGGGAGAGAAGAAGTCCCCTTGCTTGGAGGGTCTGGCCTCCTTATATAGGAGCCGGAGGCATCCATTGGTCGCCTCCCGGTGGTGGACGCCTTCCGTCGATGGACGCCTCCCGGTGAATGGACGCCTCCCGGTGGACGCCTTCCGTCGATGGACGCCTTCCGGTGAATGGACGCCTCCCGGTGGTGGACGCTCCCGGGTAGGCTGGACGCCTCCCGGTGATGGACGCCCCCCCGGTGTACTGGACCCTAGAATGGGCTTGGGCCCAAGGTGAGACGCTTTGTGGTGGGCTTGGGCCCGTATTAGGCGGGTTAATACTAGACCCAACATTTGCCCCTTTGCTTCTTGTATTCTGTAAGAATGGAAGGAGTAAAATAATGCGTTAAGGTGTATTAACTTGCCTTACTTGTGAGTCCGCACGATGCGGTTTTGCCCCTTGTGCGACCATTGCTCGGTGATGGATGCCCCTAGTGATGGACGAGACGCCTCCCAGTGGTGGACGCCCCCGGGTGACAGGATGCCTCCCGGTGATGGACGCCCCCGAGTGGATTGGACCCTCGCTAGTCCGAACGATGCGGTTTGCCCCCTTGTGCGGCCATCATCTTTGCTTCTTTGTTTAGTATCCGATGTCTTGAGTTAGAGCTCTCAAGTCGTTTGAGATTTCCCCACTAGCCCATTGCGGAGCGTGCTAATATGTAGGCCGTAACTGTGAGCTGTATGCGTTAAGCTGTTAGACCGCGAGATGGGCATGAGCTTGTGTGCATGTTAAGCGTGAGTTGTTGGCTGAATATTAGGCGTTAGCTATGTACTAGGGAGGGCGGCCCCCACGACTTGAGAGTTTTAACTCAAGGCGACGTTTGTCTTTTGAAGATGCCACACCTGCTGGGAGGCGGGATCGTGTTAGCTATACCGATGGCGCGCCTACTGGGAGGCGGTTTCGGGCTTCTACGAAGAGCGGAAGCATTGCTCAAGAAGCGGGATGCGGTTTTATATCTGCGAAAGATGTGAGTGACTAGTGCCCCATATTTTTAGAGCACAAACATAAGCATAGCATGCGTGAAATATGTCATAGTATAGTGAAATGATTCTCTTCATGGCTTGGCATATGAGATATATTTTTTCTAGCACGATTTGTAATAAGCATCTTCACAGAATATGGTATAAGATATATCTTGAAAGGGAGAACTTAACTCGGGAATAAGTTGTAGAAGACAGCGGGGAAGAGGTCCAAGTAATAGAAGTCGCGTTTGATTCTCAAGGCGGTCTTGTAGTGCAGTGGTAAGTGCTTAAACACTTGACATGCAAGTCCTGTGTTCGAAGACTGGTGGAGGCATTTCTTTTTTTATAAGAAGATGCGTCTAGTCGTGATGGGCTTCGCAGGTGTTCCTCTTGCGGGCCCTGAGTGGGAGTCATGTGTCGAATGCGGGCTTAAATGGGCTACGGGTCAATTCTGACGGGGCTCACATGCGAAGCGGACCAGCTGGACGGGAGCGGCCCTGATGCACGGCTGGAGTGGAAAGGCGGGCCTTGGTGAATCGATTTCGAGTAGAGGGACGCGGACCCAGCGTTAGCTATGCGTTTGCACGGTTGGCGGGCCCAATGGAGGTGGGCTGAACATCAATTTGGAGGCGGCCCGTGTTGTGGACTTGAAACTTGAAAGCGTGCTTGAGTACATGGAGGTGTGATGTATTTCGAGAGTGGGTTGCGTCTTGGATTCTCTCCTTTGTTGTAGGAGTGACCGCATTACGGGCCGCGTGTTTCGGACTATTGGGCTTTGGTGGCGGGCTGGGTGCTCTTGGGCCGTCGGAGGCGGTCTTGTATATTGGAGGCGAAGAGTAATGGTGGTGGCGGTGGCGAGTCCACGTTGATGCGGAAGTCAATCAAATATTGAGCGTTGCAAGTTGAATCTGCAAAAATCCACTTAGTTAACTGGCAGACGCTCCTTACTTGTTGTAGTTAGGTTGCGCGTTCGAAACCCCATGGAGACTTTTTTAATTAAAGGCCGCTGCTGGATCTCCATGGATGCGGAACGGGCCTGGCGAGGTTGCCCCCGTTTGACGAAATGAAGGCCGCCCAATCTCCACGAGACGTGGATCGACAATGGATGCGGCCCGGATGATGTGGCGGGCTAATTGGAGGTGGTCAGAAGCGGGCCTACTGGCTGGACGCATTGGAGGTCTGCTCCTCTGACACTGACGGAGAGAGAAAAGTCAGATATCACTGACTTTTGGGTAAGAGAGCTGTCCTATTTTGTGCAGCTTTTTACTGTAGCGGACAGTTTTTTCTCTTTTTTTTTTTTTTAAATCTTTTGACAGGAGATGGTGATGTTGACTGCTGCCGGGTTTCTTCTTTTTCATCGGAGCTCCAAAGTCGATAATCGACGGTGGTCGGAATCTTGTTTTTCCTTTGTTCTTTTCAGCCCAGATCCAAACGTGTGGACTCTCTCTTTTTTCCTTCTGTTGCAGATCGGCGGTAAGAAGTGATGCAGGTATTGGTGGAGAAAGAATCGGCTTTGTATGGCTCTTTTGAACTTGAGACAGTTCCAGATCTGCTTTTTTGGATCTTTGGATCTTTCTTTGATGGTTGCGGGAGATGGCGGCGGCTGCGCTGTTGAAGATGAGAGGTGATCGCGGAAGAGCTGATTTCTCTCAATCCTCTGATGGGATTTTGCGGTCGGAGCCGTCGGTGGTAATTAGTGGAGAAAGAATCGATTTCCTCTCCTCCTTCAGATACCAAACGAGAAGAGTACCAAATCAGGCCCCACGGTGGGCGCCAAAATGTTTGACCCGGATTAGTACCGGGGGTTTTGTGTGGAACCTTGATCCGGACTCCCTCGTCTGATCTCCTCGGGAGTGGAAGAAACCTGTGGAGGGTCGGGGGCGGCCCCCGTGATCTACACTCCGACGCCCAAGTTAGAATAGGATATATGATAGAGTGTAGAGAGAAATGTAGAGAGAGATAGGGTTTAGAGAGAGAACCATAAGTGGTAAAGTGAGGGAAGGGAGAGAAGAAGTCCCCTTGCTTGGAGGGTCTGGCCTCCTTATATAGGAGCCGGAGGCATCCATTGGTCGCCTCCCGGTGGTGGACGCCTTCCGTCGATGGACGCCTCCCGGTGGTGGACGCCTTCCGGTGAATGGACGCCTCCCGGTGGACGCCTTCCGTCGATGGACGCCTTCCGGTGAATGGACGCCTCCCGGTGGACGCCTTCCGTCGATGGACGCCTTCCGGTGAATGGACGCCTCCCGGTGGTGGACGCTCCCGGGTAGGCTGGACGCCTCCCGGTGATGGACGCCCCCCCGGTGTACTGGACCCTAGAATGGGCTTGGGCCCAAGGTGAGACGCTTTGTGGTGGGCTTGGGCCCGTATTAGGCGGGTTAATACTAGACCCAACAGTTTTATTTTCCCTTTCTCCTTTAACTAGAATGCTTTTTTTTTCTTTTCTTTTCCCTTCCTCTTTTAATTAAACCTAATCTTTTCTATTGAATACGCAGATGGGTAAAGTAGTAATTACTTTATTCGAAAACTTTGTGCCACCGGTTTTAAAACCGGTTATTCGATAAACTTTAAACCTTTCGCTAATTCGGATCATAGCCAGTCCAATTTTGACAACACTGGTTCAATAGTATTCTCCACGGTAGAGGTATAGAGTTAATGAATCCAGAGAAGTAATCAAAATCGCAATCGCCCAAAAGAAGGAATAAGAGGGATTCATGTCTTAGTGAGCTCCAAACTTGTAATTAACTAGGATTGGGTTAGGTTAGTTTAGCTATATTATTTTCTTAATGACTACTCTTGTCTGACTAGATAACTATATCTAAGTCAAAATAAGGTACATCTCGAGATCGTGATTCGATAATTTTATTACTTGTTTACACTATGATACACTCTATCATTGTTTATACTTTGCAAGACGAATGTGAAGTTGTAGTTAAAACAAGCCAAGTATCATCACACGATCCATCTCATTTAAATTGTGTCATCAAGAGATATGTAGGATTGAGATTTGAACTAGGAAGTTAACTATTTCAAACAACTTTTGACTCAACCTTGAGTTGTACATAGACTCTGCTCTTACATTCTCAGTCTCTGATAGCCGCAATATTGATTCCTCTACAATCACGACGAGAACTCCTACCTGTACGGAAGGAACAAACAGCCCGATGCCTTCCTGGACCACTACTGGTTTTTATTCAGCGCCACTGCACCAAGTTATGATATGTTGATATGGTCTGAAGATTTAACTCGCTGACAAGATCGCTTTATCCTCCCAGCAGCTAACATTCTTGCACATCTGCAAAGAGAAGCATATCAAAATGACAGCAACCATCAATCCAATTCTTAAAACTCGACTACCGAACTCAACGCACAACAATGCGACTCTAAGCTCACATATAATATAATTGGTTGGGAGGAGAACCACTTATCCTGGTGCTAATGGAATTCTTGAAAAGGAATAGGGGCTACGGCAACAAGTTTTCCATCAATGAATATCCATTGTCAAGTATTCCAAACTGGGAACATGAAGGCCGTTTTTTTAGATGTTTTCTTTTAAGTGACGCAATAAAAGCCCAAACAAACACTCCCATTCCATAAACTATCGACCATCTCATGATCAATTGATACGAGAAAAAGTATCTCAACATTCCTTCAATCCAACAGTTTCTAGTCCTTATCAAACACTTCTTAATCACTACTCCAACTAAAGAAAACGTCAGGTTTAAGCAGAAGTCAAAACGAACACATCCAAGAAGCTCACTAGGATAATTTAGACACACCTTTAGTACCAAGATCAGCAGCAAGATTGGAGTGCTTTTCTGGGTTCTCAGCTGAGATGCACCGCATTGATTGAGGAGAGGAGCAAGGATCACTTGTGCTCCAGCATTCATTTGAGACTAGATCGCCCATCCGATTGTTTGAGTAGTAGATGTCTACATTAGCAGACCCAGGACAAGACATTCCCACTTTTCTCTTGTGCTTGAACCTTCACCACCTAACAGGTGTGTGAGCGACAGGAGACACTAAAAGCAGAAATCTAGTTCCTTGCAGTTTTTATTTTTGGTTGAACAACAGAAACAGAACATTAGCAATTTTGAGCTACCTGTCTTTCCGCTTCTCCAGGTACCTCTGCACCGATGCTTTCCTACTCCCAGGGCCTTCTACAAGGATTTTCCAGCAGAAGCAAAACAAAATGAGAGGAAATCCAGAATTCAGGTAAGTTATTAGCGACATCAAACAACAATCAGACTCCCCCGAGACACTCAATAATCGAGTGTCATCCCTATGTTTTATAGCAGCTCATCACATCAAACTGGCCCAAGGCGCTTACGAAGATTGCATAAAAGCCCCATAAAAGAACATAGGTATATAGTCAGATGCCATACGCAGAAACACTGAAAATAGATGTTGTACAAGGAACAATGTACGCCTGACAAGTGGACAAGAGTTTATCGGCTGAAGAGAGAGGGAGAAAAGGAGACACAAGGAACAAGGAAAATAAACACACAAGACACAACTGATTCCAACTTCTCTTTCTTTCATTCAATGCAGTGAACAGCTAGTATAATCCTAGGTAAGAACATTTAGATGCCATCAATCATCTCAGGTAACAACTTACAGGCCAAAGAAATACAAAAGCACAGGGAAATTTTCATGGTACAGAGATATGTTATTCAAATGCAAGGATACACCTTTAGGGACCAAAAAGAAACAGAGCTCTCCACCAGAGCCATATACCTTGGTTGACTTCAGGAGTTAACTGGTAATTGCCTCTCTGCAGCTGACAGTTTTCTGCCAGTTTCGCTGTGTTGACCAAAAACAAAATCAGTAAAAACATAAAGTAAAAATGTTCCCCGCAGTAACGAATATCAAACAGGATCCCTGGACAGTTTGAAGCTTTCAAGCAAGGCTTACACTAACACTGCATTTATCCTCTACAAAAATATTCCTCCACAAAACCATATGCATATCTAACATGAATATTTCAGTTGTAGAATGTTTTAGCCTTAATGTTTACATTGGGCAACCAAGAAATGGAAATCAGTTCACCAAGGCATAAGAAAATAGTTATGACTAAATGGATCTAATGTGGTTTCTTATTGGAAGCACTACCAGTTTGCACGGAAGGGAAGGCCAATGCCGATGAAAATTGAGCTGCTTTAGGAACGTGAGTTTCTGATTGGACCATAAATGGCCATACTGGTTGACTGCCGTCAGATGAACTATCCTGAGTCAAAGGGAGTGGACTGGCAGCGAGCTGCAGGATAACTCGAGCCTGCAACGTCTTCCGGTCGAAACGGTTACCATACCGAAATTATAATTTTGCAATGACACTCGCTTTTCAGAGTATGGGCTGCATGAAAGGACCTTATCTATTACCTTATCTCTTGGCATGTCATCATAGACGTTTACCTTCCCACAGTAAAATATCGTCATCTGCCTGGCTTGCTCAGTAGCAGCTGCACCTGTACTTCTGAAATGTCGAGATACTCTATTCAGTGTGTAAACTTCAGCTTGAAAATCAAACCCCCCAAGACGGGAAATCATATTCATAATCATAGATTTCTAGTATTAGGGCACAGGGCCAAAATTTGAATCTCCGTACTAAGTTATCAGCAACTATTTTTCGCAAGGAAGTTTAACACAACTCCACAATGTGAACATACACAGTCAAAATTTAGCATATTTTGTACAGGTAACATTTTGCATCAAGTGACAACCTGGGAGACACGGAGTCGTTGTCTGCGGTGGCGTGACGGACGGCAGGAGCAGATGGAGGAGGAAGAGGATTGTTGGCCGGGAAATCATTCAAAGGCGGATCTTGCCGGCGGTATGGAGCAGATTCTTCGGCCGGGACAGAGATCGGAGAATCGGCGGAGGTTACTTTCGCAGAAACAGAGGGATTTGCAAGGGCCTACAGTGATGAAGACCACCCAACAATTAAAAAAACTGTTGCAACCGTGCCCAACCTTGGAATTATTTAACTTAATCAAATAAAAAAAAACTAAGGGGAAAAGGCAAAGATTAAAAAATATGAGCAAAGTACTCATCATTATTGGCGAGAAAGGGGAGGTAGCCACTGGTTTGAAGCAAGGGTAGAGAAACGCACACGATGGGTGTTATCCGGACGGGGAATGTAGCGCCTCCGGGGAGGCTGGCCGTCGTCGGACTCCGGCGGAGGTTCGAGTAGGGTTTTGAGTGAGATCACTTGCTGGATTGCCTGCGATTTGTTCCACGACGGCCTTCTCATCCCTGTAAAAAGGTAACAGTCACCAATCGTCACTAACCACAATCAGAAGAATCAGTTCCAGAAAATGAAGGTGTAGAGTGAATTGAGAGGGAGAGAGAGAGAGAGAGAGAGAACAGTGCCTTTCTCTTTGAGGAATCTGCGGCAATCCTCACGAGTGAGCTGAGAAATGTCATCTTCCGTGAGCTGGTGGAGCGGCTTCTCAAGCGGTGATCGAGCTGCCGTCTCATCGGCGGCAGACTGCATGACGCGTTGCAGTGAGATTCCGGCGGGGGCTAGTTTGGTCAGTAGTGGCTTGCTTTTGAGGGGACTGTGACCATGGGAAAGGAGTTGAGAAGGGAGAGAAGAAAGTAAAGCAGCAGAGGGGGAGGCTTGGACGCCGTAAAGAAAAAGACAAAGAGCGGGCGTGGGAGGGATCCAGTGTGACGCGGAGTCTCAATTTCTGAGCCTTTTGGATGAGAGACGGGCGACTGGTGAATCTGGATCGTTGATTGGTCTGGCCACCAGTCGTTGAGTCGGCTCAAATCAACGGCAAGCGGCAGGTGGAACTGTGCTGGCGCGTGGGACTGCAATCTGCTGCAACCCCGGAGTGACACGTAATTACTTAAATGCGTTACCCCACTTTCCGTTTGCTTTTCGCCATTTTCATCCGTCACCGTCTAAAATTATTTCGGCACAACGCCACAAAATTTAGCCGCAACATCAACTGTAACGTAGATTCTTACCGAGTTTAAATGACAGTTTTGGTACCTATGTTTTCGGTTGTTTAACAAAAAGTGCAAATCTCTATTTTCTTTTAAAGGAATCGCCGACCACGACCCGTGAATGAGTTTACACTATTTTTCTTTAGGAGGGGAAAGAAAATGGAGAGGGTAAAGGTTCATCCATTCTAAATTGAGCTTAGAAATCGAATTCAGCACTGCTTAGATGTGATATGCAACCTACATACAAGGGCCAAAATTCAAGCTCTCATGACCAATTTGCATGAATGATTGGCAATGAGTTAAGAGCACACATTCGAGGTCAGGAGACTAGAGCAAAGATTTTTTTTAGCACCAAATAGCTTCTGTCACGGAACTAGCAAGTGCGCCAAGAACTCAAGGTTCTCTCTCGAGCAATACAGAGAATAATCCTACAGAAGAGATCAAAGCTCTTAGAGAAAACCAACCTGATTGGTAGCGGATTCTCACTATAGCTCGACCAGAATCATATTCTTTGATGTTTTTGTTCCAAAAGGGGCAGGGGTTACAGTCTAGGGAGCTATATTAGAAAAATCCCCTTGGGCATAAACAGACGGCTTAGTGGCCAATTTTGGGCAAAAAATTGTGCCAGAAGCGTCAATTTTAGGACCAATAGATTCCATAACTCAACAAAATACTGATTCTAAAATCCTATGAACTGCCCATGCAAAATTAGCCGTATGAACTCTAAGAAGGGGGAAAAAGAGACAAGCCTCTTCGATTCTAAACGTTCTCTCTACATCAGCTAAAAGCTTCCAAATTCTATTTTGGAGCTCAAGTCATATAGAGGGAAGTCCAAAGGAAGCAGAATCCATCTCTGGTATAAGACCAAAATTGGTGTCCAATTTAGCCGACAAAGGGCCCATTTTCGCTTCAGGGCATCTAAATTTTAAAAATTGCAGGAGAGGCGATACCAAGTTCACTCGTATACGGAATATCAAACACCTCCTAACCACGAACAAAAGCCTTGTCCCTCCATACCTACAAGGAATTATCATTTTCTACTAAAAAGCAACGTGGAAAAGAATTCCTTACCCCATAAGGTAAATGAATTCTATCTATATAAAGGTACGACTTCTCTAGACCCTCAAGACAAGAAAAAAATTTCATCACGATGGGAGGAAATTAACACCATCACGAAGCACGACGAGGACCATTGTCCCTCATAAAAAAAAATTGGTCGCTTCAGCAACCAAATTTCGCAAGACATTGACAACCAGGGCACCATTTTCTACCCTCTCAAGAAAACTCAAGTTCCAATAGTCATGAACAAGTTCTTAGAGGTTATAGGAAGAAGAGAAGCGGTTGTAACTTGTAACCATTCTTAAAGTCATTGATGGGATGCCTAATCCAGTACACTAAATGCAAAATCTTTTTAGTTAAGAGGAAGAATCCTCTAAGAAGATTATAATAGATGACTTACTTCCTCATATGCAGCTAATAATACTACAGAAGATGCCCGATCCATGACACTTCACAATTTCATGCCTCCTCAATGGTCTTCATGAAACGGATGCTCTCATAGACGTGATTATGTTTACAAAATACTTGGGATCACAAGTTTAGAGGAGGCGACCATAGAGCTAAAGCTAACGGAAAACACGATTATGTCCTAAACATGTGGTCAAGAATATCAAAGTCGATATAGGGTCTTTTGTCTTCCTTCTCAACTTCGTAGTAATCGACCAGGATAAAGATAAATACTACTCTATCCTATTTTAGAAGCCTTTCTTAGCCACATTCGGTCCATTAGTCGATATTCATGCACGAAGGATCACAATAAGAATCAATAATGTATAGTGCATCATTAACATAACTAAAACATATACTAAAGAAAGGGATGTCCCGCAATCATTTGGGTCCCCCGTGGTGGGATCCTATTGTGAATATTCAGAAACTTCTATGCCAAACTATTAGGACGACGTCAACACAACTCGTTCAATCAACATATAAAGCAAGTTGGAATTCACCTCTATGGAACTCGTCGTTTCCTGGAAGTAAGAGAGAGTTTGAAGAGATGACGTGTAGTTTACATGAACCCGTTTATGAGCTTCCCAATGAATCTTATGACAGAATGAGAGAATTTTCTTGAACCACCTCCACCAGAAAATTGTGGAGGGGAATGGCTAGCAGAGCAACATTGGTCGTATGACTAAAACACCAATGGTCATTCCTATCTCAAGGGAATAAAATAAGGGGGACTCCATGGGAGGACACCCATGCCATCATCTAACTTTAAGACGTTAAAGCAAAAAAAAGTCGGGAGATATCCCGGATTTGTGTTTTTTTCAGGTGTACTTTTCGAGATTTGGCTCCTAAGGAATAAATTTTGTTGGTACATTAGTAAGTGATGTGTTTTATTGTTTAGATCATCGATCTCTCCGAAAAGGAACAAGGTTTGTCATTCATTCACAACTTCTTCGTTTCTTAGGTATTTGCCTTGCCCAACTTTATTCAATTTATTCTGCTTTAAAGATGTGATTATGCATGGTATACATTAGAAACAACAGTCTACGACCTATAACAATACCACCCCACCCATCCAAAATGGTGGCAAAATCGGCGGCCTGGCCACCATTTTGTTGCTCAGACCTCGAAATTCGGGCTCTAGTTCTTCCCTTTGTATGTGTTTGGAATATGCTATTATCCTTACCTTGCCTATATAATTAGAGCATGTCATTGATGGCATATGCCTTATGAATGAATGCTAGATACTTTCTCTTATGAATTCATGGATGCATTGGAGATGCATTTTTGGGAAGACATATCGTTACATAGTGTGATGTTTGTTTTTGTATTCATGTATTGAAGAGTATAGGCCCCTACTTGTGCCATGGTGTGTTAATCGATAGTTTAATTGATGTTGGTATGATTTGTTTCATATGTTGCTTGTTCTTCCCAGTTATTCTGTCGACGAAGAAAATCTAAGTTTAAAGGGGTTACTCTGTCAACGAAGAAAATCACCAAACCCATAAATCAACAAAAACCCAATGGCATATCAGCGACACAATTGACGCAGTATGCGCCAATTTTCCTTCTAGCCTACCAATTTTCAAGCCATTGGGAGTCTTGTCTTTAACTGATATTCTCCCATAGTTCTATTTCCCGGAGCGACTAGTTCGTTGGTTTTGTAGATTTGCAAAATCTAGAGGTTCTTTAGACTTTGTAACTATTGCTTCTTGGTATATACGAGTATTTCAATCACTTTTTTTTGTTTGATTTATTTTCAATGCAATTTTGTGTTGGCGAAACTATGATCTCATATGATGTAGACTGTGAAATCTGACTTTGTGTTTGATGTGACTGGACAAGGTCGTCCTTCATAATCGATCATCAATCGATTGAATTGCGTGATACCTCAAGGGAGGAATCTTAGGGTCTTTGTAGCCCACTATATTTGGTATACAACATTACACAAGGAAGGAGTTAATCTTGCAAAGATCAAACAACACATACATGGCCAGGGCGAGCTTGCCTATGCAATGTCTTTCCCTTATATTCTTCTTGTCCACAGTGGCTTAGGTTTTAATTTTTTGTTTTTGTTTTCAATGCAGTCAAAATCTTGCTTTAAAACTTAAAAGCTTACATTTTTACACTTATAAGTCACCAAAATGCTTCTCCAAAATTATTAATAGAGGGTAAACCTAAAAAACTCGAAGAATTACAAAGGAATATCCAAAAAGAACTGAATTGTGTGAACCAAAAGAATCATCAACTATTATTTTTCTATTTAGTTCTATTTTTTTTACATACTGAAATTTTAAAATTTGATTTCGATATATATTGCTTATATATGTTTTAACTCTACGACATATCGTGCTTTTCACATACAAATGTAGTCAAAATTTACACTTTAAAGCTTAAAAGCCTCTTCTTTAACAGTTCTAGGTCACCAAAACGCTTCTACGTAGAATCGCGAATTTGACTAATTTGTTATCATTTTTTTAAAACAAAGGGGAACCTCAACCCCCGGAGGCACGTCAACCCCACGTTCGTTTTAAAGCTCAAAAGAACAAGTTCCTTATGATCTGAGCAAGTAATTGTGAGAGGCCTTGAGAGAATAAGCTTGGCTACCAACAAAGTAAATTTTTGTCAGTTCTATGGCGTATCAATCAACTTCACCCTATTGGCCTTTAGAAGGTTTACTACAAAATTATTTCCAAATTAATGGATAAATTTCTTAGCGAGGTCTTGCCTAAATAGTAAATTCATCTCCACATACCATAATGGGTTTATGAATAACTTCTCCATTGTGGATACTGTTTTCTTCAACAAAGAATTTATGAAATATCTTCGAAATAAGCATTGTGGCCGATAAATTTTATGGGGCTCATGTTGGATTTGAAAAATGCATATAATCAGATTGAATTGCCTTACCTATTTTAGGTCCTCACCAAGTTTTGTTTCGATGCTCGGTGGATTGATCTTCAACATTGCCACGCTCTCTCTACTACTATTTTCCATATGCATGAAATGATTCTATGCATTATTATCTCAACAGATAACTATGATAGAACTTAAGAACATTTGGTTCAATGATCATTACCTCATTATTTCTCACATAGTCGTCACTGATGATGCATTCCTTTTTTTCTCTAGGACACTCAT